ACTGTGGTGATAAGCTGTTTTTTCCTGCATAATGTTTCTTATATTACAAAACATGTAATTCGAACTTAGAAGACAAAAAGTGGAGTAACGTAAGTTAAAACTTAATTCAATGTGCTAGTGCAAATTACAGTATTGGCTATTTCCTGTTACATCGATATATACAATAATTAACGGAAATTATAGCTTTATTTGCTGAATAGTGGCAGTGTTTACCTGCGTAGCTATATTAAAAAACACTTTGTTCTGCGCAGTTGTAAATAGACAGCTGCGATTTGTAAGAAACATCCTGAATTTCAAAGTTTCAAATTAAATGCTATTTCCCGAGTTTCATGCTTTAAAGTGAGTAAAAAAAACTGATTTATCGAATATTTAGATAAAATTTATAATTTGCAAAATGAAAGACAACTTTGGAAATTATAAAAAATATGATCGGCAGGTTCCATTGAAATCTGCAGGAATTTGCTAAAGATCACAAATGATTTGGACACAGGACAAGTTGAAGACTTTATCATGCCAATCGGTGTCCCGTAATAACAGAGTTATGAAAAAAGTATTTGCCACTCTTTGTAAGCATTTTCACAGTGAAGAAGAATAAAAAAGCACAAGATATTGGTTTCTAAATCATGTGGCAATATATATTGTTAGAAATCCACATGAAAAACGATGGAATTAAAGAACACATGAAGACTTATTTTTCAATTCTTCTAATCACCGAAGAATGCCGTGATACCCTCGCTTCCATAACTTAACTCTGATTGGTTCTTTTATGATTGATTAATTGCTGCTCGACCTTGTAACTCGTCATTTAAAGATTATTTGCAGACAACTTTCGTTCTGCTTTTCTCGTATGACTAAACAACTCACTGATTTTGTGTGTCAAGTTATCGTACTTTTCAAATGTCATCCGACGGGGCTGACTGACGAAATGTGCAGAAATTCTTCTTGAATTTTCAGTCACATCAGTCGTCACCAGTTTTAAACAGTTGGCTCACGTTTTTCTGAATTTACCGCTTTTTTACTGGCCACCCTGTATATGAAATTGTCCATACAGATTGAAACATCAACAAGGTAGATGCGGTGTGATGCTTGTGGGTGGAATTATAGGTGGTAAAATTATGGGCCCATGACGATTTCCAGAACCTGTAGAGATGACGATGTTAATATTAACTTCTGAATGTAGACGTGGTTCACAAAGTGTCAAACAATTTCAGAAAGAAAATGATTTCTATACGCAAAAATTCTCCATTATATTCACCGAATAAAATTGATGACTACCTCAATAAAACAAATTTCAAAAAGACTCGTTCAATAAAACGTTTGCTTTGTTCACCCGATTGTAAATTTATGGCTTCTGGTGTACGAAGTGAAGATGAACTTGAGAATGCGGGCCTTGATGCTGTGCAGTTTCATATAACTTCTAAAATTAGCTACAAAACATGTGGCTATGCATTTCACATTAACGCTATCATTGTAAAATTGTCATCACTAGTTTGACAGTGTTTTCAATTTTTAGTTCAATACTTTTATTTTCGTAAAATTTGCATACATCCTATCATTATATTTTTAATTGGAACATCATATCTTTTGGAGTTTAAATGAACTAATAATGTGGAACTTGAAAATCTGATAAAATTTATTAAACTGTTGCTAAGAGTAACCTGTTGTAAGAGTAACATGTAATCTGCTATAATTTATAACATATTATGTAATATATTGTGAATAGTAATAGTGCAACTATTTCCGTGGGTCTATTTATTCTTTTTCCTTAAAATTATGAAAAGTAAAAAGCAATCAGTAATATGGTAGACATGAGAGTAAACTGAAGCCGTAAAGAATTAAGAAATCAACAAAATGACTTTAATTACGTGTGCTCTTTGAAAACGCATGAATCTAATATGATTTTACTAGCCGACTAATTCTGAATAAAATTATGTGAAAATAAAGTAAGAACGAGAGCCTGTATATTTTTGCAGTTTTCAACCAAAGAATTAATCCTCATTAGAAATCATTAAAATTGTACCAGAAAAAATAATCAATAGAAAGTTGTTGTGGAAGCTGAAACGCAAATAAACTGGTCACACTGAAAGAAAAGTTTAAATAACAATAGAAAATTATATGTTAGGCAAAAATTGAATGACAAAGTTGAAAAATTATGTGTAATGTGTTACGTCATCGGGAAGGACTTGACCAGTCTAAACTAATATTTTTGTTGATGGAATTATATTTGTAAGAAATTGTAGCGTTATAAAAATGCAAGCGCCGATAGGAAATGCTGAAGATGTTGAAATTTAATCTTTTTAAATTTAACTTTTTTGTAAAGATGCCTGAGCAATTTCATTCAGTTTTCTTATGATATTGGTTTTATCACTTTTCTTATTAAAGTTTCCGATATTGTGAAAATAGAAGATCTGCCAAGAAAGATAAAAATGTTGTAAGAACACAGATGCAAATTTACCGTCGATGATTTAACAATCGAAGCACTTTCGTTTTACTATATTGCTTTCTTTTTTTAATTAAAGCAATTTTTAATTATCCTCAGATTCATTACTAATGCATTAAGTGTGCTGTGTTGTAAAAGATCTCTTTTCTGTTCATATAATCTTTTATTGAAATTTCCAAGGGTTTCTCTTATGTATTCTTGTTGAAAATTATTACAGGTGATAGAGTAAATGTTAATTATGTTTAGTTAATTATTTTGTTTTGTATTAAGTGTATTATTGTTTTGGTAATTGTAAGAAAGTTTATGTTAAGCTGAGATAAATTCTTTCTCTTTGGGATAGATTTGGTAGTTAAAGTAATATTCCTCGATTTGTTAGAATGGTTCATTCTTTTATTTTGAAATCTTTGACGAGCTATTTATTTCACGCTGAATATGAAATAATTAGTGTATTAAAAGAGTTTAAAAGTATTAGTCCTCATCATGTAAATACTGAGGGTTACAAATTCTGAGTGCTCTTAAACAGAATTCGATAATTATTTTATTTTGTTGTTATGATGAGAGCAGAAATTTATGAGGTCATTTTTATTAGTTGATTTACTTAGTTTTAGGTCATTATCAGTACGTTTTTAACATGATATGGAGGAAAGACAATGTGTTGCTTGTTTCAGTTTCATAAATGTTTCTATCTTACGTTCGACTTTGTTTAGTTCATCTATAAAGTCAGATAATATTTATTTGCTGGTATATGTTAATAGAGCACCATCAGTGTATCGGAAATATTTTCATTGTTTAGGTACTGCTTCAGCCGAAATTTGAAATTGGCTCACCGATTCCATGCTGATAACCGATACACTACTGGAACATTTTATGAGTTAATGCTAATGAAATAGAAAATAAAATAAATTATCGTAAAATTACACTGAATAAGGATATCTCCTGTAATTTGCACGATAAGGTCATCAAATAATATCTGAAAATTTAATGAGTAATAAATGAGTAAATAAAATAAATAAAACGCGAAAAAAACTTTAAAAGTTCTCAGTGACTTCTGTGTTCTATACTGCAACATGAAAACGTTTAGTAGCAACACATTGACAACATAGCAGAACTAAATGGCATAACAAGCATATATTAATTGATGCTTTTAAAGTGTTAAGATTTTAATCTTTACTAAGACTAAGTATTAATACTAAATGCATGCATGTAAGCTTAGTAGACACATATTTTGGTCGGCGGGTGGGAAGGACAAACAAAAAAGAAAGAGGCATACACTTTGATATGATCATCAGGTGGAGGGGATATCTCACGTATTTCCACTGTGTAACGGAAAATCATAGGTTAGGGACGTAATTAGTAAGACGAATAATAAAGTAGAATTAATTCCAAATTTCTAGGAAACAAATAAACTCTAAAAGAAGTAAAATATGATGTATAATTTACATTTATGTACAAATATGAAATTAGTCGATTAATTTATCAAGTTTATATTTTTTTAAATATGTCTGCCTCCAGTAACCGTTTGAAATCTTGCAAAACAATCCTTTAAGCGTTGCCAAAGAGAAAGATTACACACACATATCATCCTGATATGCTCACCGATGTAATTTTATATGCTATTTCTAGAGTGGCACAGCTGAAATTCGAACCCGGTTTGCTTTCATTTTTCCACGCCGATAAATGTTGTGTTACTTCGCGTCTCTATCTATCTATATGTACTAGGGGTGGGTTTATCTGACCGACCAAGAACCCCTTTCCCATCCAAAAATAATATTGAAGTTTATTTATTTGGCCAAATTTTGGGAAGTGGGTCGAACGCCACTGAATCTATCTTATCTAGAAATTGCTGAATGTTATTCATTATCGTGATTAATATTCAACAGTGAATTAAGTGCATTGACAACGAAAGCGGTGTCATAATAGTGGGTGCCAAACAGATGAGATATTGCACTTCTGAAATTGGTGGATATTGGAGATTCCTCGATCTATATTGTCATGTGTGTAGTTCAAATATCGAAGCCAACGCAGCAGGTACGAGGCGCATAGCCAGAAGGTCATGTCTGCGTTCTTTAACTTCCCATTAAGGCATTCGATGTACACCCCCCTCCCCAAAAAAAAAATCACCAGGCCCACGATGATCAGAATTGGTTTGAATTGCAATATGAACGATTCCGATGGTGGTGTGGCTACCACATTCACCCAACATAAACATGATGGAGAGAATCTACATCTATAAGAGCAGAGAGAGAGTTTAGGCCCCTAAAGAAGCGACTGACAGTAATGAATTGAAGTATAAGTAATGAATATGAGCAATATGAAAAGAATAGAAAAATAACAAAATATGAATAGAATGTGAAAATAAGGAGAAATAATAAAAAGAGAACAAGTGATTGTGAATCTGTGGAACCTAATGAGGACTGGTGAAGCAAGTTAGTGGTCAGGGGTGAGCCATGAGAGAAAAATGCTGAGCGGGTTTGGCCTTGTACTCGTGAGGAGCAATATGAGGAGGAGGAGGAGGAGGAGGTAATCGGATGGACAAGGCGGACAGGTTGGTCATACATACCTAGACCTCCTTCCTCTATTTAATGTAAGTCGTCGTCTTGGAACGAAGAAGAGTCTGCAATAGAAAGGGCTTATGAGAAAAATGAACAAGAAATATGAAAATGAATTTCCTCATTACGTTCTTATTAATGCAATATTAATTAGTACAATGAAACATTTGTAACTGTTTGCTTTTATTCTGACGTTGGGTTCATCTTCATCTCCACATGATTTACAATGTTGTATGGGATTAACTTTTAATTTATGTATTTATTTTCTCATGACATTGAACCTGATTCAATCTCGTTTCTTAAATGATATTCTTTCCTGAGAATATTTTTTTTTAAAATGTATGTTCCTTGTCATCTTCACACAACATGCTTATCCCGCAATGAGATGGGGATGTTCGTGGTGGATGGATTCTTGCTATCCAAGCCATAAAACAGATATACATCTTAAGTAAATATTACTGGGAAATATCCATATTTGGTATTCATGCTAACTGCGAAATCAGTCAACAGCTACCATTTCAAATTTTATTCCAGTTGGAGAAATAAAAATTAAGTCATTTCGATATTCTACAGCTGGGAAAACTAAATCTTGTAGCTGATAGTAAAGTGCAAGTTATCAAAGTTTATCAAATCCTTTGCAACCTCGGATACGTGTTTATCAAATGTAATTTATTTGCCAGAGTAAATGAGATTTATTGTGTGTCAAGCTACAAAACTACACTACTTTTTAGTTATTGATAGAATTTTGCAAAGTAAAATGTTCTTGAAATCTTTTTTCTTGTTTTTTCTACTCATTTCCGTAAAAGAATAGGCATTTAGAATTTCAGTAAATCTTTATTCGTACAGAAAGTGACTCTTTTCTTACAAAATTGAATATTTAGGAACAAATAACTATATACGATAATTTAATTTTTGTTTCTAAAGTTATTTGGTGTACTACTTCAGAATAATTGTTTTTTTAAATAAATCTTCGCAGATTTACCATCAATATATATTTGACACTTAAATGATTAAATACATCGACAGATAAAATAAGTCATTATCTATTAGTAGAAATTCGAAACCACTGTGCTCATTATTACTAATAGATGTCAAAAACAATATGGCGCAAAGAAAATCGTATGAAGAAAAATATATTCAAATTTGAATTTCATTTTTTGATGATGGACATCCATGGCCTAATCGATAAAATGTTGTCACTCTCAGACAGGCTCCCAGGGATTTGGGATGTGAATTCCAATTCTCTCCCAACCTTCTTTATTTAATATCTTTGCTTTTTACCTAACAGTTGTAGAATTAAAAACGATCTGAATGTTGCAATAAAAAGCAAAAAAATAAATAAAAGTAAATTAGTCAAAATTAATAATGGCGATGCTTCATTAGATAAATTCAAACTGACGTTATAGTAATCACCTGTCCTAGACTGTGGACATGGAAGCTTAACTCCAATGATAAGACAATATCATGATAGACAATTTTTACTACTCTAGTTTTTGTTAGTATATTTTAATGTTAAACAAAGTATATGTACTCATTCTTTCAGTAGTCCGTATATTTATAAAGTTAAATCTTCTAAGATAATAGAATATCAACAAGTTTACACAAAAGTATAACAATATGAATTTTATTTATAAGACGAATATTTGAGTCAGTACACGATTCAAGGAATCATATTTCTATTTGTATCAAATCATGTTATGTACTGAATGGTCTATAGACTTATATGTAGTAAGTACTAAAAATGATACGATGAAATGAAAATTATTTAATTTGGATTTGAGGATTTTAGAGACAGACATATTCTTTACCAAAACGAAGATTCGATAACATGCAGGAATATGTATAGAAATGAACATGAAAATAGTAAAACAGGAAGTTCCAGAAAGAAAATGGAAATTTCAAATGCTTGAAAAAACTGCGAAATAGTTCGTGCCGAGGAAAAACGAGGATTTTTTAAAAATTATTTTGTGCAATTCTTAAAATGCTGCTATCATTTAGTATGATGTAAGCGATTAGTGATTCGCGGGTTTTGATTAAAAGTCGGTGTGAAATGTTAATAAAAGAGACAACAAACAAAATAACTCAGAAATTAAGATAGTGAGATATTCTAATTTTGATTCATCCTATCGTTTATTAAGATTAACAGTTTCAAAGCAGTAAATTATTGCTTTGTTAAAAAATGGAAATTTATGATTTTTATTCGCCGGATGGGTGAACTTTTATTTTGTTGCTTCCATCTTTGCAGCATTTCCCATTTTGATAGAAAGAAAATAAAGGAATTTTGAGAAAAGTAATGTCGCATTTCACTCTTCTACTGCAACTAAGATTAACAATCAAAGTTATAATTATTATTTTGAAATGGCATATACATTCGGGAACACATGTCATTAATACTGTAAATACCATAAAAAATATTTAACCAAGGTAAAGGTGACGATGTTACTGGAACTGCTCGGAAGGAATCGAAAAAGTGAATTGATAGTGACAGGTAAACAGTTAATAAAGAATGTTGACAGTATTTTTATCAAAGATTTAACAACAATTTCTGCCACAAATATGCCACATAAAACTCATGAAATGAATTGAATATTCATTTTCGAGAACACGGTTGTACCTTATTATTGCAAATTAGCGAAATTTATCTCCTTTCAAAATTTTGTTGTAGCCTTTTTGAAGAAATTCTAATGACACGTTGGATAAGTTATTATTTTGTTAATAATTCGTTAACTCAATAAGCAAATTGCTTTAGCAATTAGAACGTATGACTAAGCAATTTATTAAAATTAATCGGTATCCACTTTTTTAATGGGCCCTTCGTGTAACACTTCTGTTGATAATGAACTGTTTGGTATGAATTTGTTTTCGCTTATTTAAATTCATAGTTTGTAAATGATTGCTATTGTATTATTTGCACATATTTTTGCCACAGGGCCGCATATTAACTTTATCCGAGTCGAACGACATTTTTTGTGGTCACCTTCAACTATAATTGGGTCTGGAATTTTGAAGTGACTTGTCGGAAATTTAGAGCAAAAATCTTTCTCGATTTTATGAACAAACATAAATATATAAATATCTGTCTAATGCCAAATATATGTAAACTATTTGTGTAAATATACATTGATTAAATATGTTTTTTAATTTCTCATAATGAAAAGAAATTATTTCTGATGAAAAAGCTCTAGCAGCTACTTAAAGTAATGAAGTTTCTAATGCACACTATATCACATACTGCGAGATCTTGGTGCTTCTTTGTAATATATGATATCAATCATATATTTCAATAATCAAGAAAATAGTTATTTATGCAGCTAGTTAGCAGCTACACAGAGACATATTAGGCACTGTTATTAATCAAAACTTTAGTTGTATTTATTATAACATTCATTTTGCAAATATTAAGTGTATACATATATATATATATACATATGTATACATACACACACACACACACATATATATATATATATATATATATATATATATATATATATATATATATATATATATATATATATTTCAATTTTTTCTGCATTAAATATAGTCTTTGGGTTCTTTACTCTAGTAAGCGCTAAAAGTATTTTCTATTTCAAAATTTGACCAAAGAACTTGTTTTTTTATGAAGTGGGAAGTCTTCTTGGTCAGACTGAGAACTTTTCAAGGCTTCGTGTAATAATTTAACATTTTGTAATTATGTCACTATTGTTTCTTTTATTCCTCGAAAATAACATTTTTTTTTATTCGTGACTTCATATGTAAAAAATGAATTGCAGAGAAAATCTTAATTCACTTAGGAAACGAACATTTCTGAAGGTTGAGGCGGAATGAAAACTTAAACGTTTCTAAAAATACAACAAAATGTCAGAAATCCTTAAGCCAAGGAAATAGTGAAATAATGACCACCGCTTTCCTAAAATAGTCATTCCTCCCACCTTTAAGTTCCTCTGCTTTGTTTCCTGGCCCTTAAGTGTCGCATAACGTGAACGATGGAGTTTTTGCTTTCATTTTTTAATCTTCCATTATTTTTACTTTGAATTTTTACTTTCAAAATCCTTATATTCTAATTTGGCAGAATAAATATCTAGAAAGCATAGAATATATATTCATATAAAAACGTTAGATCCCTACAAGTGATTCAATGAAAAATCTTATCATGTGTGCCAGAGATAAAAGGTACAATATCTTCTTCGAACTCAGACAGATGTAAACTGAAATGATTGTAGCTTCTAGAGGTACACAAGACGATAAACTAAGAAAAGTTCGGTCGGTAAGCAACTAATTATCACCTGTAACTCTAATTTCAACGTATTTATTATGGGTGAACCCAACTTTAATTTGATTGTCTATGATAAATAACTAGAAGTGAAAATTATAGTGAGAATATAAATACAATGTTTAGTATCTGTAAATATATTCTAAGCAATTGTAACGCTCGATGCTACATCACATATTGACAGAAAGCAGTTCACTTCAGAACTAAAAGGTTATTCTTGCTACAGAAGTTTTAATCTCACATTTTTCAAATTTTTAAAACTTATTTTCCTCTTACAGTTTCATTACTGATATTTATTTTTACTTAAAATTTATTGAAATGCCTTAATTTTCGAAATTTAAAAAAGAAATAAGGAAACTGAAAACCCCTTTCAGGTAAGACTCATGTCATCACGTTTGATTTTTTAAAGGTAGTTGTCACACTCTAAAGATGAAGGATTTCTCATCATATAATGATGATCATAACTTCAGGATCTTCAAGAAGTTGCTGAAAGAAAGAAAGAAATTCAAATATTGTATCGGCCACCTTTGACTACAGGAGTCCAAAAAAGGATCTGAAGCCAAAATTGATCTGGAAGAAAAAAAAGTTCTTAATTCAAGAGACATAAGAAGAATAACCAAAATAACTTTTACAGACATGATGCAAACGATCTCTTCTTTACTCAATTTCTAGTTGGGCCTCCAAAAGTTCCATAGAACGTTGCCTCTAACCAAAGAAAAAATGTTTAGAAGTGGTAATATAGGGGTGTTGAAGCACCACTAATTCTCTAGAATAAAATGGCACTGCCACATA